ACATTTTTAAATACAGCATTCGCTCCTGCAGTACTGCAGGATCCACATCAACGATGTGCACTGTACTCTGATGCTTTCTGTTCCGTCTCTGCAGTCCACTTTTCAAAAAATGCTGACCTGGACCAGAAAATTTCTTTCCTAACCCACTGACAAATGTCCACTTAGAATGTTAAGGCACGGGTCACTCGGCATCGAGGGATAGCTATATCGCAGCAGAATCTGGAGCTCATACTGAGGATCTGAGGTCCAAGGAAAAGTCTGACCGAAGATCCGATGTGCCACGTGACGCTGCAAGCGTGTGCGGTGCAGGTCAGAGGTGTTTGCGACCCCAGACAGCTGGTGTCACACATAGCTCCGGCCTGGGGAGAACCCAGAAAGTCCTCTTGGTGGAAGGAGGGTTGGAGAAGAGGAGTCGGTTTCCACGGAGCAGGCTGCACTTGCCGACCACGGCACAGTGGAAGCTTCTAGACTAGAAGACCAGTCCTCCCTGCTGAGTGTGCAAGTGAGTTCTACCGAGGGGCACGTCCAGAAACAGCTCTTCCTCCAGAGCGGGGGACACACTGGTCTCCCTGGTGGTTTCCGTCCCACTTGACTTTTCACCTCCCACCCCCATTGTCTGCCTCCCAGTGGGGGCTGAGGAGTGCATTCTGAGGCCGCCTTGGTGGCCCACCCTCTCAAGGCACAGGGAATGTTCCACATTCCAGCACAATCTAAGGACATGGACAGGCATGGAGATTTTTTTTTTTTTAAACATTAACAGTGCGCAGTGGTGCACACTTGTCATCCCAGTGGCTCTAGAGGCTAAGGCAGGAGGATTACAAGTTCAAAGTCAACCTCAGCAATTTATCGAGGGCTTAAGCAACTTAGTGAGACTCTGTCTCTAGATAAAATATTTTTAAAAGGGTAGGGATGTGGCTCAGTGATTAAATGCTCCTTTTGGGTGCTGGGTTCAATCCCCAGTACCAAAAAAAAAAAAAAAAACTTTTACAGGAAAAGGTCTTTATATTGTGGTAAAATACACATAACAAAAACTGTGTTGCTAAATCACCCCCAGAGCCTCATGCAAGCTGCACATACAAGGCTCCACCACTGAGCCCCAGCCTGTTTCCCATTTCCCCCATTCTTTTTTTTTGGGGGGGGGTTGGGATTGAACTCAGGGGCCCTCAACCACTGAGCCACACCCCCAGCCCTATTTTGTACTTTGTTTAGAGACAGGGTCTCACTGAGTTGCTTAGTGCCTCATTGTTGCTGAGGCTGGCTTTGAACT